ATAATAAGGTCAAACCAAAACTGTCTTATCAAATTTGAAGACAAACTAGCAGAAGGAAAGGAGCCAGAAGAAGGCATAAAGTTTAGAGATGTACTTATTCACACACTCAGGAATCCTGTAAGAACAGGAAACTGGAAACCATATTGTATGTGTAGTTGACCTGATGAAGACTTTTACAGACCCCGTGTATGCTGCTTTAATCTCTGTGAGATCATATGAGCATTGCTCATGATTGTCTAGAGGGCCTTGTTGTCTTGGTGTCCTCCATTCCCTTAGGCTTGTACACTCTTTCCATTTCCTTTTCTTCAGGGTTCCCTGAGCTCTGATGGGAGGGATTTGATGGAGACATCTATTTAGGATAAGTGTTCCAAGGTCTCTCACTCTCTCATTGTTGTTACTTTCTACATTTGCTCCCATCTGCTTCAGGGGGAAGCTTCCCTACTGATAGCTGAAGGCACTGATCTATGACTATATCAAGAATATCTTTAGGAGTCATTTATTCGTGACAGTTTTTTCTTTAATTTAGACCAGAACAGTATTATTCGATTTTACCCTATGTTCTTGAGATATCTATTCTCAGGTACTTAGTCATCAAGCAATGTCGGGTATGGGTTCTATATCACTGAACAATCCTTAAGTCAAATCACAGGTTGGTTGGCTACTCACACAAGCATTTTGCCACCATTGCCTTAACATATCTTACAGGTAGTATACCATTGTAGCTAGTTTAGGGTTGGTTTGGTGCTTATAATTCCCTTTTGATGGAATGCAGAGTACATAACAAAAATAATAAATGCATGACTACATCTTACTTTACTTTTTCAACTTCATCCTGGAATGATTCACTAAAGAGTGCTCAATAATTTATATTTGGTTAATATCCTATATGAAATACCAGACTTGTTTATGAGAACACCAAAATCAAGTTATAGGGCCAAAATCAAAGCCATAAGGACAAAAAGTATTTAATTTACATATATATATATGTATATATGTAAATTATATATATATATAGACATTTTAGGCATGCCAGAAAACATTATATATATATATATATATATATGTATATATATTATAACTAAAACATAACTATATATATAGTATTGAATTAACATATTCCTGAAGTGTCTAATACAATGGAAAAACAATTACTATGCTTGAAGTATTACAATTAAAACTCAAATATAAGTATAGAGAATGTAGACTACATTGTATTAGAGAACCTTTAAATATATAAACTGTGAATTTCCTCCCTTCCTCCCTCCTCTCTCTGTATCTCTCTCTCCCTCACTCTCTTCCTCTGTGTGTGTGTGTGTGTGTGTGTGTGTGTGTGTGTGTGTGTGACCTGTGGGGCTTAAGGGTTTTTTTTAAACCCCCCCCTCCCGGGGGGTTTTCCCCCCCCCCCA